GGCATGACTGTGTTTGTAAGGGGGACAAGTGCCACTTGCTGTGATCTCCTGAGTGACAGAGGCTGCACAGCCAAAGGGACAGGTGGGCTGGGCTGGGCACAGAGCACAGGAGAGCAGCTGGAAGATCACCAGCAGATTTTATGGCTTAGAAACAGCCGTGTGAGCAGTGCTCTGATGTAACACACCACAGTGTGGGGCTGCCTTTGATCCCAGGGTGGGTAAACACTCCAGAACAATCTGCCTTTGCCTGGGCACGAGGAGCAGATGCAGATCGTCACCTGCCACACTCACAGGTGTGCAAAGTGCTTGTGCAGCAGCAGCTCCTCGGCCAGACCCGAGGGAGGGAGGCAGGGACAGGAGGAGAAACTCTGTGTGTGGCTGCAGAACAGTAAACTACACCCACAGAGAGAGGAACAGCTCCTGTCTGTAGGGAGCAGTGGGACCAGGTGGCCAAGGTCACATTGTGGTGGGGGTGGCAGGGCCAGCAGAGCAGCCCGGGGGGCTCTGGGAGGAGCAGCAGTGGTGGCACCTGTCGAGGTGTGACTCCTCCCTGCCCCTCCAGCCCAGCACCCTCCTCATCTGCACGGCTCAACCCCTGCCCTGCCCTGCACACTCTGCCCAAGGAGCCCTAGTCAGTCTCAGCACCCCCATGGCAGCCACCACCTGGTAACATCCCGGTGGTCACAATGGCCCTGGGTGGCCCTGGTGGCCCTGACAGCTGGTCCAGCACCGTCTCCAGCCCAGTGGTCCTGCCTGCCTGGGTCCCTGTGGGAAGATGACCTCGCAGGTTGGAGCCCCAGGCTGATGGTTTGGCAGGAGGGACTCCCGGCCCCCTGTGTCCTCTTCCTGTGGGGGCCGTGGGAGGCTCTGGGGGGCTCTGAGGGGCTGGCAAGCCCTGGGGGTGGCAGGAACAACAGGGTCTCGGTGGTGTCGGGGTGATGCAGCATCTCCCCCCTGCTGTGCAAACCCGCCCGGCTGCCCTGCCAGCTGGGATGGATCCCTGGGGATGAGTGAGGGGCTGCAGGAGTGGGGACCCTGCTGCAGGGAGAGGGGTGGCAGTGGCAGAGGGGCAGGATGGGCAGAGCTCTGGCAGCCAGGCAGGGGCCACCAGCTGGGCAGGGCAACCCTTTGTCTGGGTGGACATCTGACCCCCTTGTACTTCTTGATCACTGAAGTCAGTCATCTCTCTGTGACCCCACCTGTGAGGTTCTTCCTGGAGGTCCTTCCTCTTTGAGAGGGATTAGGGATCTCTAAACCTGTGGCTGGACGCAAAGGGATTACAAGAGACTCTTAATTCAAGCCCAGAGCTCTGGCAGGGCCATAAATAGCTCTGTGGACATTGAGCTGGTGCTTTCCCTCAAAGACAGTGCCCATGTATGCAGGTGCACTCACTCGGGCAGGAAGGATCTTTCTGCCAAGCTTCAGGTTCCCCAGAGAATAAGCAGGAACCCCCAGGGCACATGAACCCCATGGCAAGGACAGAGCCCAGAGCTCAGCACTCCTTGGCACCACGTCCTGCCTGTCACTGGAGATGTCTGTCAGCCCTGTGCAAGGCTTGCACACCTCAGAAGCATCTACACGACTTAGCAGTTGGGTTATCAAGCATCTCCAGCCCCACCTCCCCCCTGCGGTGCTTCCCTGGGGTGTCTGCTCCCCGCAGCTGCAGCAGAGCACCCATGTGCACACTTGTCTCTACCTTCCAAAGCCAGACAGGTCACAAGCATGTATGTGGATATAACCATTTCTGAACAAATCTGAGTTTGTTCAGGGCAGGGATTCACAAACCACCTGGAAATGGCTGTTGTGGTACAAAATCTGCTCTTCAGGAGCATTATTTTATCCCCTGTAGAAATAAAATAGACTGACATTTCCTGGTGAGCAACTGCTGAAATCACCCTTGTCCTGAGCCCCAGTGATGGAGCCTTTCAGGCACCTGGCAGGTGGCTGTGCTAGGAAAGCCAGGTGCTAAAAAAAGGTGGTTGAACTCATGGGGATCTGGAAATTTCCTGAAAGGCTTGAGGGAGATTTCCAAATAATTTTTGGGTGTCCCCTCCTAATAGGTTTAAGAGCCAGAGTTCAAAGAGAGCTACAGGCAACAGAAATAGAGCAACAAATAAGCCAGGGATCATGGGAACTAGGAAACCTCCTTACAAGGTTAAAAATAAAGCAGAGCCTTTATTTAGGACACACGGGAGTAAATCGGATAATTGCTGGGGAAGAGTTTCCATCAGCACAGAAGTGGCATGAATGAAAACAAGATAACTGAGTCACAGTTAAGTAACAGCAGCAGAAACATTTTCCCAGTCAAGCACAGCCCTGGAGCAGCCAGGGCTGCCAGACCAGCCTGGGGGTGTCTCAGGGCACACATCCACCCTCCTCCTCTGCCAAGGGCTGCTGCAAACCCAACACTGACCAGGAGACTCAAGCTCTCCTGGTTTAACTTGCTGCTTTTTGGTCACCAGTTCCCTTTTCTGTTGGAGCTTTAAGCACTGACGAGGGTGGCAAAGTGTGGGGACAATTGCAATGCATTTGTCTGGCTCTTTTGGTCCACAGGTGACTGAAACACCAGGACCCCCTGGCAAGGACAACAAGGGACCAAAGGGGATGGAGAAGACCAAGGCCACGCAGGAGACCATTCCCACCGTGCTGGGCCCAAAGAGCCAGCCGTCTGCAGCACGCTGCCAGGCAGAGGAAATGCACTTTGTTCCTTTTCTTGCCCATTGTCAGGGCTGCCCACCTGACTCCCTCAGGTTTCTCTTCTACAACCCCAACTTCTCCAACTCGTACAACCCCTTCTACACGGCGCAGAAACCGACCTGCGGGTACCGCTACGACCGCAGCACTGACCACACCAGGAAGGTGATGGATGTTCCCAATGCCAACGTTGTGAAATGGAGACCCCTTCGGGGACCCAGGTTGGAGCCAAAAGCAAACAAACCCAAGCAATGAAAACAGAGACTGAATAAAGCCCAAGCAGTGAAAGCAGTGATTGGTGTGACTTTCCCTCCAGCGCCCGAGCTCTGGCAGGGAGCACGGGAGGGGCGGGGAGGCCACGGGGCTGCTCCCCAGAAAAACATGCCATGAGGATTTTGCTCCAAAAACCTTGTCAAACTTGTCCTGTCATTTATTGCCAGCTGGTTACAGGGTGGCACTGGGTGTCAGCAGCACACGGGGCTGCAGGAACAGCCACTCCCACCAGACTTCTCTGCACAACAAGCTGCAGAACCTGGGCAGGTCTTGCCAGCTTCTTTGGCAGGACAGAAACTCTGCTCCTTCTTTGGAAGGACATCTTTCACCAGGCTTTCCTAGACACAAAGTGTTGCTCTTAGTGAATGGAAAAGCAGGTTTCATTTGTGGCAGTTAGACCTGAGAGAGTGTTTGGAGATGAAATTCATCTCTCATGTCCCTGCAGCTCTTCCCCAGGAGGCAGCACAAAACTGTTCACCTTGTGCATCGCCTGCCCTGCAGAACTGGGTGCACCACCAGCAGATGCTGCTTGAATCAGTTGGTGAGTGTGTATCCACATCTAATAGACAAGCTTTCTGCTATTACTGAATGCCCAACTAGTGTAACCCCCACTACTTCAGGAGGGACAATCCCAGCTGACCCCAGGGGAATCAGAGCCCAGGGCACCCACTAAAGGCTCACCTTGTTCACAAGTGCTGTGCACATTGGAGAAGAGTGTCTGCTGCTGCAGACAGTACAGGTTTAGCACATCCAATTAGTGTCCCTCAGACTAATTCCTTCTCTGTAACTCTTCTATGACTGCTTCCTGCCACATGCTTTAGCAGAGTTATTCCTAATTTACTTCAGTGCAGCAGCAACACCAAGATCCACCACACACGAAAGCTGGGCTCTTTGTCTTAAAGTTCTCAGACACAAAACCCCAAGTGTTGCAGGACAGACTCTGCACAGAGATCCAGCAGTCACACACATTTCATCCCCTGTGCAGGATCTGGCCCATGCTGCTTTCTGATGATATGCTCTTTTATCTCCCAGTTTTTCTCTGAATCCCCTGTCAGACTAAGAACAATATCAGTTTCAGTCACATTTATATCAGAATTTTCCATGGTAATTCATCATAAATGAAAATCAAACATCACTGGCATTAGCCAGGTCATGGCAGTGCAGTGGCTGGGACACACTCCTGGGATGAGCCACATGCAGGAAAACTGGGGATGCTCAACTGGCAGGACCAGATAAACAGAACTAGGGAGGGGACCCAGCAGTCGGGTGAAGAGAGACCTTCCCTGGGAGAAGATCATCACAGCCCCCAGGATCTGTTTTTAAAGCACTTACAGCTTTAACATTCAAACCAATTATGTTTCTGTATCTGTCTCAGAACACCAAATTCACCTTCATTTAGCACCTCTTCATGGGGGTTAAAGGTACTTCCCTCTCCCTGAATCCTGGGCTCTGACAGCCCCCTGGGATCCCTCCAGCCACAGCAGGGCTGAGTGAGACCAAAAAGGCAGGAACAGCACAGGCTTCAAGTGCTTTTCTCTCTTTCTTTTTCCCCTGATTTTGGTGCAAAGTTATTGCTCAAGTGACCCCACACAAAATCATAAATGAAGTGGATTAGGAGATTACAGCATCATGGAGAAAAATCCAGCCTGGTAATCTCCTGCTGGGCCTGTAATCTGCAAGACTTTTCCATTTTGCCTTCTTTCTATTTTAACCCTGAACTGTTAATGCCTGGCTGAAACCCATCACCTCCTGAGCCTCATTGGCCAGGGAAGGATTTGCTGGGTACTTAAATGTCACCCTCTTGCCTGAAGAGGGTTTTGTGCTTTTGAGTTTCCCTGGAGAGAAGTGTCTTCAGCATCCACCAGCACCAAGACTGCAGAGGGACAAGGCACCTTGTTTTTCCCACTCCTGTGATTCCTGCAGTGCTGAGGACATTTGGACTTTTAAGGTGAGAAGCAGAACTGAGAAGGAAGCCCTCAGGTTTCAGACAACATCCATTTTTGGCTGCACGGGAACCAGCACTTGGAGTGGAGATGGGGAACATGGATGGGAAAAGCGTGGAGGAGCTGAGCACCACCGAGTGCCACCAGTGGTATAAGAAGTTCATGACAGAGTGTCCTTCTGGCCAGCTCACCCTGTATGAGTTCAAACAGTTTTTTGGCTTGAGAAACCTGAGTCCAGCAGCAAACAGCTACGTTGAGCAAATGTTTGAGACGTTTGACTTTAATAAGGTAAATATTGTCCTTTGCGTTCAGGCTGGGCAGGGATGGGCTGTGCTGGGCTCCTTGCCTGGAGCCCCCGTGGTCTATTGGGGTGTATGGAAATCCAGGGGTGTCTAAGGACACGGGGTCTGATCTCTTTGGCTTCAGACATTACAGAATCAGTTATGTAAGGTGAGAAATGTCAGCCAAAACTCCCCACCTGCTGACTGTTCTGGGAGAAAACAGTCTTCTCCCAGGCTTGATATTTCCCTTTCAGTTTGAAGTTATTGAAATTGAGGGATTTTATCTGCTAGTCTGTGATGTCTTGAAAACGAAGTGCCCTTTAATCTTTAATATCAAGTGTTGTGACAGGAAGGAAGGAGTGAGTGGTGTGAGAACAAGTGCTGCACTCAAGCAGAAACAGGGAGTTCCCGAGCCCTGCAGCCCGGCACGGGCTGGGGTTTGCAGAACAGATCAGGGCTGGTTTCCTATTAAGTTACCAGTGGATTAGAGTTTCACTGCTTTTATTACCTGTGCTCAGTCCCATATGATAAGGAGCCTGGGTTCTTGGCTCCCCAGGCAGAGGTTTTGCACCTCGGGCTGTGGTTGTGCCAGGCCCTGGTGTGTTCCCAGCTCGGGAGCCTTGTGAGGGAAGCAGAGGGGTGATGTGTCTCCAAGGGGAAACAACACCCTGCTCTACCTGCCAATGATGTGAAATTGCACCTTGTGAGGTGAGGGATATATTTTATGGGAACCCAAGGGGTTTAGTGGGCTTAATCCCACTGAAAATAGTACAATGTAGGCGTTAAATCCTGTAGGTGCTGCTTGTGCCTCTGCCTTGCTCACTGCCCTGGGTTTGAAAACCTGCCTGGAAAGGGAACTGCTGCACAGGAAATCCTGCTGGGAATGGGGCTCGGTAGCTATTTATACCTAATCTGGCTCCTGCAGCAGTGGGATAAAGCAGATGATCTCCTCTTGAACTGGCCCCATGGCGTGGGGGCTTTTTTCATTGGCAAGCCCTGGCTTATTCTCTAAGGGAGACTTTCCTTCAAAGTGTTCTGTATCTCAGTGGCTTGTGCCACCAACAGGCCCCGTGTGGGCACCAGGTATCTCACCAGGTGTCCTGGGAGCTGTGAATGCCACTGGGCAGTCAGTGCCTGGAGGCAGCTGGTGGCAGGGGAGCTCCCCCCAGCACAGCTTTGCACTGGCTGGGGCCCAGGCTGTGGGCTCAGCTGAAGGTCTCTGAGGCTGCAGCAGGAGCTGCTGGTGGGCAAACACCTTGGGGGAAAGTCAAAGATAAAACTGTTTGTGCTTTTGCCATGACCATGAAGCAGATAGGCAAAAGGCACAGGGACAGAGCAGCACCTTCCCTGCCCATGGAGGCAGCAACGTGCTGGGTAATTTTGGTACTGGTTTGTTCCTCTCCTGGAGCTTTGCACACAGGAGCCCTTGCAGCAGCAGAGCTGCAGGTGTGTGCAGACAGGTAATCCCTCCAGCTCATCTCCATGAGCCTGTTCCTCTCTGACCTCTGAATTACCACTGCTTTGCATAAGGAGATTCCTGCAGTGCAGGTCAGCTTTGGAGGCTCTGCCAGTCCCCAGGCCAGGTACACACCAGGTTATCAGCACACGGAGGCTCTGCAGAGATCAGAGTCTTCCAGTGGCAACTTCCAGCAGTGACCAGGACAACCCCTTGCTGCCTCTTTGCTTGTAATCTCATCTAGCTTCTGACCTTCTGCTTTTAGGATGGCTACATGGATTTTATGGAGTATGTGGCAGCTCTGAGCCTGGTCCTGAAAGGGAAGGTGGATCAGAAGCTGAAATGGTATTTCAAGCTCTACGATGTGGATGGGAACGGCTGCATTGACAGGGGAGAACTGCTGAACATCATCAAAGTGAGTGGGCTCAGCCTCCTCCCTGCCCTCTGCAGCCCGTGGGTGTTAACACAGCCAGACAGCAAGGCTGGAACAGGAGTTTTCCAGCCAGAAAGACAACTCTCTGCCAAATGAGCAGACACTGGCCAAACCTGCTGCTTGCCCTGTGCCAGCCCTGCCACCAGACTGGCCCAGCCACCCCACACCTCCCCTGGCACCCACATGCTCCAGCAAGCAGCAGCCCCTCATCTCCTCATTGCAGGTTGTTCAACCACATCCTCTGAAACCCAGCTGAGATAAATGCTTGAATGTAGTCTAAGGATTTTCAGAGGTGAATGGCTCCTGGCTTATCCCAGTACGGCCACTTAATCTTTTAATGCATTGATTGCTTTTAAAGGGAAATTAATCTCCAGCTTTTAGGAAGGCCTTACTCCTTTCAGGGCCTAACTGCCTGCAAAAGACTTTGTCCTCTCATGTCACTTCACCACTTGTACAGGTGGATACACAGGTCTGCACCACACTCAGTAACTGTCCCCTGTGTCCTGCTCTCCCCCCCAGGCCATCCGAGCCATCAACCGGTGCCAGGAGGAGGTGACTGCTGAGGAGTTCACAAACATGGTGTTTGACAAGATCGACATCAACGGAGATGGTGAGGAGCCTCCTTATGCAATGCCTGGCACAGCACCACAGAGCCTGAGGGCTTGGAAGGGACCTCAAAAGATCCCCCAGCCCAACCCCCCTGCCAGAGCAGGAGCACATCACACAGGAACGTGGCCAGGAGGGTGGGAATGTCTCCAGAGAAGGAGACTCCACAGCCTCTCTGGGCAGCCTGGCCCAGAGCTCTGTCACCCTCACAGCAAAGAAGTTTTTTCTGATGTTTACATGGAACCTCCCATGTTCCAGTTTGCACCCATTGCCCCTTGTCCTGTCCCTGGACATCACTGCACAAAGCCTGGCTCTGTCCTCCTGACACTGCCCTGAACATGTTTGTAAACAATGATGAGGTGGACCCTCAGTCTCCTCTTCTCCAAGCTCAGGACACCCAGCTCCCTCAGCCTTTCCTCATCAGGGAGATGTTCCACTCCCTTCATCATCTCTGTGGCTCTGCCCTGGACTCTTTCCAGTAGTTTCCTGTCCTTCTGGAACTGAGGGACCCACCCACAGCTCCCACCTTCCCCTCAGTCCAGTCTGCCAGAGCAATTCCAGGCCTTGGGTGTCCCAGAGCACCAAGACGTGGGGAGAGATGGCAGAGAGCAGCTCTCTGGGAAGGTTTAGCTCCCTGTCCCCTCTGTCGGACACTGCAAACTGCCCCTTGTCACACTGCAGTGTGGGGATCCAGGGGGGTTTAGCTGTGATGGGGCTTGGGGTGGGTGACACACAGAGCCAGGAGGGCCCCGTTTTAGTCTGTGCAGCTCCTGGGGGGCTGCTCTGGGGCTGGGGGCAGGGGCAGGAGGAGGGATGCAGGATTTAACAGGCCTTTTCTGAACGTGCCCTTGCAGGTGAGCTCTCCTTGGAAGAGTTCATGGATGGTGTGCAAAAGGATCAGGAGCTGCTCGACATCCTCACACGCAGCCTGGACCTGACACACATCGTCCAGCTGATCCAGAACGACGGGAAGAGGGCGAACGAGGGGGAGCAGATGGAGGCTGCCCAGTAGGCGCCCCAGCCCCTTCCCCGGGGCTCTGCAGCTCCCCCCTCGCATCGCCACAAGGAAACGCGGCCGTGGGAGCTGCTGAGCTGTCCCAGAGCCACCAGGACCAGACCATCCCACCGGGACCAGACCATCCCACCGGGACCAGACCATCCCACCGGGACCAGACCATCCCACCGGGACCAGACCATCCCACCGGGACCAGACCATCCCACCGGGACCAGACCATCCCACCAGGACCAGACC